TGGGGTGTTTGGAATTCAAGGACTTGGTGTTGGGGAGGGGTTTGCAAGAATCTGGAAGCTTGTGTGTCTTTTTTCTGCATTTTTTATGATTTTCTGTGACCATTGGGCCACTCTGCTGTTTTTTTAAAAAAATTCTGGATTTGAATTTCTGTGTGCTGGGTGGCTGGGGGAACAGTTGGGGAGGGGTTTGCAGGAATCTGGAAGCTTGTGTGGTAGTTTCTGCATTTTTATGATTTTCTGTGACCTTTGGGCCACTCTGCTGTTTTTTAAAAAAATTCTGGATTTGAATTTCTGTGTGCTGGGTGGCTGGGGGAACAGTTGGGGAGGGTTTGCAAGAATCTGGAAGCTTGTGTGGTTTTTTTCTGCATTTTTATGATTTTCTGTGACCATTGGGCCACTCTGCTGTTTTTTAAAAAAAATTCTGGATTTGAATTTCTGTGTGCTGGGTGGCTGGGGGAACAGTTGGGGAGGGGTTTGCAGGAATCTGGAAGCTTGTGTGTTTTTTTCTGCATTTTTATGATTTTCTGTGACCACTGGGCCACTCTGCTGTTTTTTAAAAAAAATTCTGGATTTGAATTTCTGTGTGCTGGGTGACTGGGGGAACAGTTGGGGAGGGGTTTGCAACAGTTGGGGAGGTTGTTGTACCAAATTTGGCTTTGTTTGGACTTTTTTTGACCATAGGAACACATTAATTGATTTTCAATGCATTCCTATGGGAATTCATGATTCGCAAGACGAAAAATTCGCTAGACGAAAAAACTCCCGGAACGAATTAATTTCGTCTTGCGAGGCACCACTGTACCAGAGTTTTAGAAGACTTCTGAAGGCAGCCCTGTTTAGGGAGGCCTTTAATGTTTGATGCATTACTGTATTTTAATATGTTGTTGGAAGCCGCCCAGAGTGGCTGGGGAAATCCAGCCAGATGCGCGGGGTATAAATATATTATTATTATTATTATTATTATTATTATTATTTTATTTTATTTATTTTATTTTATTTTATTTTATTTTATTTTATTTTATTTTATTTTCCTTGGTATGGTTCAGCACAGAGCATTTAAATGAATTAATTGATAAGACTTCCTCTAAAGAAGAATCAAACTGCTACAACTTTAACCACACCATACCATTGCTACCAAAATGTCTTCCTCGTACTCCAGCACCTCCTGCCTATAGCACTTGACTGGCAAATTGTTAGCAGTTTATTCATGCTTGTAAGCTCAGAAGTCTTCTGAGTCAAACCCAAGGAGATCATCGGACAAGTCTAGACTAGCCTGTTCTACACTCCGGAGCTTTAAACCAACTGCAGTTAAGTGCAGAATAATATTCAGACAGTGAGAAATTCAGATAAACAGAAGCACAACTTAGGACAGGTATGGGAAACCTGTGGCCTTCCAGATGTAGCTCCCGTCACCTCCAGCTAGAATGACCAAAAAACAAGGGGTGCTGGGAGTTGTAATCCAACAACATCTGGAGAGTCACAGATCCCCAATCCCTGATTTAGAATGTGGAGACTCTCATAATGTGCTTAATACTGGGCAATGTTGGTTCTTCACCACCCCGCATCACAACTTGCCTTGGACACATACATTTATTCTGTATCAGGTCTCAGATATGCTCCATCCCTTGTACTTCAGATGGAATGCTGACTTTTAAAAAAACACATTCATCCTTTACAAAAATGACCATTTTAAATGCCATTGGAAAAACTACTACAGTATGTGTGCACGTCAGTGATGTCACAGGTACTAGACAGTAGGTGCTCACCATAGTCTGCTTTACTTGTGCCCCTCCCCCCCAATACACCTGGCTCCAGAACATTAGAATGGGAATGTTCTTTCACATCAGTAAATATACCTTCAACTGTCTTTACTTGTACATGGGTACAAGTGTCTCTCTTCCCCATATGATCGTTGTCCACAAAGTCATAAACGGAGGTCTATGGTTGCTTGAACAATTTCTGCAATAACTCCCAGGGAATGGAGAGTTAATAATTTGCTGCAATTACAACATTCTAAACACTAAGTTACCCAATCATAACCAGGGAATGGTTAACAATAATGCAATAGTACCTTTGCCCTTTGGCCACACAGAATGCTGATCCAGTGCCATAGAAGATATTAGTCCAGAGTCTCTAAAAATGGGTGACGGGGGAAGCCAGGACAAATTGCTGCTGTCACTTGTAGCAAAGGTGGAAGCCATTGGCCAGAAACTTTAAAGCAAATTTGGCCAGCCTGGTGTGAACCTGATGGACTGGGGATGGCTGGAGCTGATAGGAACTGTAGTACAAAATAGCTAGGGGGCAAAGTCTACTTTTATTGTTATTTTTTTTTTAATTAGATTTCCTGAGTGTGAACACAAAATCATACACCAGTCTCACATCTATTCTGCCTAGTACCAGCATTTTTCATTTCCTTGTCTAAAGACGATGCTAACAGGGAAAGCTGTCAAGGAACAAGTCTACTACAGTTTTCAGCCATCAGTCTGCAAGGAGAGCAATTATAGAGTTACAGAAAAGACTATTGTGGCAGGAGTGAGTTTCTGTGCAAAATTTTTCCTAAGGCAACGACTCAGCAAAGGCACACACAAAATTCTGCTGACATACGTGAGGAAGCCAGAAGCACCCCTGACCTGCAAATAGAACGAATGTATAAAACAATCATGTACTGTCAAAGCAAACAGCCATTACAATATTAAACAAAGCAAATTAAAATAACAGGCCGCAAAAAACCATATTAAACAGAAGCAGAAAATAATAATTAGGAAACCTCACAATGGGTCAGACTAACCACAACTTTAGACATGTGTTTGAATCACACACTTGCAATTGAATACCAGTTGCCGAAAACTGCAGGTGGGAAGAGTTCTGTTGCATCTAGTGGGATACTGTGGGAATAGGATGCTGGACTAGGTGGGCCTGATCCAGCAAGGGTCTACTTATGTCTTTAACTGGCCACATCTCTTACTGTTTAACAAAGCTCCAATCCAGATTAGGCTTTGCCCTTCCCAACCCTTTTCCAAGAAGGCTGCTGACCCACAAAGCTACTGCTTGCTCCAATTTAAAAATCAAATCAGAGCAGATAGATTCAGGGTGGCTGACATTCAGCTGGAAACCAGTTTCCCCCCATCCCATGTCACAGCCCCATCCGGCTAGAAATCCCTTGCGGCTACCTTGTTTAGGAAAAGAGAAGTGGTTTAAAATCGTGCTTAAAATCTCGTCTGCTTTGAGATATACATGAAGCAAGGTAGCAAATAATATAAATTAAATGTTATGGCTGTAAGGTATGCTGCTATCATACATCATATAGCCCACCCCAAATTTGAGGACATTCCCACACCAAATGTTTGTCCTTATAGTGCTGGCACAGTCCACACTTTTTCTGGATCTTGCTGCCGGGAAGTTAACAGCTCTTTTAAGAAATGCCAAATACTGTACAACAACCAAAAGGTTTGTTGTTCCACACAAGCGTTCCACTTGGAACAGGAGGCTCAATCGTTTGCTTGATGGATTTACTTTCAGGTAGGCCCTCCATTTTCCCACTTAAGACCAGAGACTAATTTGCAGTCTACCCATGAGTGGATCTTTTCACTCGGTTTGGCATCATTCACTCAGCAGCTAGAGCCAGCCTTTGAGCAAGCGCCACGACCTAAGCTGAATTAAAAGGAGGAATAGATCATTCTGTCGCATCACCACCATCAGTATCAGAGCTCAAAGAAAGAGCTAACGAGATGAAAGGGATACAATCTCCCATAGCAGTAAATCCAGAAAGCAGAAAATTAGTGCTGTGTTTCACAAGCAGTCAATTTCACATATCTGTATGCGGATGGATGGATTCTACACACGTTTGCATGGATGTAATTCTCACTTCATTCAGCAGGCTTACTCCCAAGTAAGGATGCTCAGGGTCACAGTCTCAGAGCAAAACCTTTATTTGGGATTATCCTCCTTCCAGCTCACTGCAATTTACATTTGAGTAAACAAGCACAGCATTGGCTGCCCATCCTATTAAAGCCAACAGAGCAAAGCCAAGTAAATAAAAAGTCCTGTCTGGTGCAGAGAGCTCTTTTTAGGAGCATTGTAACATTTCTAGCCGTCTTCTCCATCTATTATCTAACAGGTGGTTATCTCCTATTATCTAACAGGTGGTTATCTCCTATTATCTAACAAGAGGTTGAATGTTACTGCCCGACATAGTAAGGATTTAACTGAAGGTAGTGGAAATCTGTTCCTATTTGCATCTTTGGTAACAATGTGCCCCTGCAGAAAGGTAGCATTTTATAGAACTAGACTATCAAGTTGCACAAAGGTGGGGCATGAGACTGGTTTCTACTTAAATGCATGTTCAGGCTCGTTGTACAGGAACACCAGATTAATTTACTGTAGGCATTCCTGTTTCAATTCCCAAGCTGGGGGGGAAAGGGACATTAATTAGAAGACTGCTCTTATAAATCCCTCCATTGCTTCATTCGACCATTCGTAAACATCTATTCTGATAAGACCTTGCATGGGAGAATACCGTTTAAATACACTATAAGGGGTGTTTTCATAAATCTATATGAGTTGGTATGACCCGGACTATAGTCTCACATGCTGAACACTGGATGGGAAGACTGGAAGCCCAGTTACGTAATCTCCACAGCTGCATATTGCTCATGTATTATTTCCATGGGTGCGGCTGATCCAGTTTAGCAGGAAGCCAGCAAGGGAAGGAATGGGGATAGAGGAGTCATTCTATTTCTTTTTCATTTTAATGAGAAACTACAGTGGTACCTTGGTTCCCGAATGGCTTAGTTGCCGAGCAAATTGGCTCCCAAACGCCGCAAACTGGTTTGTGTTCTGGTTTGTGAATGTTTTTCGGAAGCTGAACATCCGATGCGGCTTCCACTTGAGTGCAGGAAGCTCCTCCAGCCAATTGGAAGCCACACCTTGGTTTTTGAACTGTTTTGGGAGTCAAACAGACTCCTGGAATGGATTATGTTCCAGAACCAAGGTACCACTGTACCCCATTTGCTCAGTTGGTTACAGTGTGGTGCTGATAACGCCAAGGTTGCAGGTTCGATCCCCATATGGGGCAGCTACATATTTCTACATTGCTCGATGACCCCCAGGGTTCCTTCCTCTACAATTCTATGAATATATGTACTTCTTGAACCAACAGGCAAACGGAAACACAGCTGTCTTTCAAAGTTCATCCCTTACCTGAATCTACAATGCAGTTTTCCAACCAAACAAGTACAAAAAACATCTATTAGCACTTGTACTGGTAAAAACAACCCAGAAGAATGCATACGTTAAGGGAAATGGCTTGCAACAAAATGTGTATATTATTCAAAACTGTGTACAAAATGTCTTTATTAGGAGAAATTCACACTAAAATGCTTGTGGGATTTTATATATATTGCAAACTGCTACAAGTATTGGATTTAAGACTGAAAAAAGTGAGAAACAGAAAGAATCAAAAACGACAGATTTGCCCATCCCTATCAAGGAGACAGCCATTATGAGCAATGGACTTGGGGAGCGTTGTAGGAGAGGCAGAAGCAATATGGTGCAGGATATAGGGCATGGGCACAAGGAGACTTGGATTCAACCCCTGCCCAAAAGGTCACTTCTTTTTCAGCCTGGCCAGCACCAGAGGTTCTTTGTAAGGATTGCCTGAGATAACACTCAGAACCTGAACTCCTTTGCAGATTACTGGGACACAACTATGATCAATCAGTAAAACAGTATTCCTAGTTTGCAACATGACCTGCTGTAATCCACAACAGCCTGCACTTTGATGCAATAGCTATGTGGCGTCCATTAATTGTGGCTGTTGCCAAATCAACTATTTCAGCTCACTCTGCAGCCTGGTGCCAACACTATGTGACCTACATTATTGGTGCAACACCAAAGTTATTACAGCCACGCTTGCACTGAAGCCTACATGCATAATTACTAGCAGAGCAGGTTAGGTTTACAAGATCCAGGAGATCCAGCAACTTAATAATAAATCGTTTAGATTAGGAAAGTCAAGCCCAGATCAACAGTTACAGAAGGCCAAGAGAGCCCTGACTGGCTCTCCAGATCACCTCATCCTGTTGACTGGACGAACTACCTTCCAGCCATCTTCAGGGGGGTGGAGCAGCAAGGCCAGCAGGAAATCAGGCCAGCAGAAACCTGATTTATTGGCAGCTTCAGGGCCTAATAATGCATAATACTTATGGTACAGTTTACTCATAGGAAACTGCTTTAATTTTATTTTTTTGTTAAGAACTATTCCCAGCCCTGCATCTGGAACTACTGCGAACTGAGCTGTTCATCAATTAACTAGGCAACAGTGCTTTTCATATCAACGTTGAGAGTCTTTTCTGCTTTGCAATGCACCAGTTACTTTGCTAACGTTTTGCACGACACTTTACATAGGCTAATGTCATTATGATAAAAGCCATTTGATTTGTTTTTGAATAGGAATTATGGATGCATCAACACCACAAACTTACATCACTTGCAAATCACTTTTAGCCCACAAAGAATCTTGGGTGCTGTAGGTTTATTGAGTTTAGACGTATGTTTATAGGCTCCTAACAGTTTTACAGGACCACAGTGCCCAAGGTTTGTAATATGGTTGAATCTTCAGTGGGAGATCTGTTTAATTATTTGCTGGATGACCTCTGGGCGACTGTCTACCCTTTGTGCTGTTGGGAATGAATTCAGCAAATGTCTGGGATGCGTGTATTCTTTCCACATTAGCTCAAATGTGTGCTGGGTGAATCCTTTAGACTCAATAAAGGACACCCCATTCCATTGCTGCCTATCTTTAGCAGCAGCACTTGTCATCGCGGACTAGCGTGGCATTTGTTAACTGCGTTGTAACTTGCAAAGCTAATCAGGAGCATAATGGGGCAATATATTAGGCACCTCTGCGAAGCCAAGAAATGTGGTCAGATTGTTAGCAAACAAATAATCTAAACAGCGCAATGGTCAAGGGTAAGAGTTGATATTAAATTGCTGATATCATACTTCTGAACAACACTTTTATCGTGCAAAGAGCTCAGCAGTTTCCTCCTTACATTACTTCGCAGCTACCCTTCAGAGGAAGTCACTATTATTCCCATTTTACAGTTAAGAACACGGGGTTGAATCCAAGCTAAGTTTTTTGAGCTTAGAACCCATCAAAATCAATAGGACAAGTTAACTATGACCTTGCCTAAGTCCCATTGATATAAATGGGCTTTAAGGGCAGCAAATGCAGCTTTGTCCTATGATACCTCACCCCTGTGTCCTACAGTCCAACATCTGCCGCCTGAGGCAGCCACCTCACACCAAATGATAGGGATGGCCTTGTATAATCCTGTTCACATGATCTGTTCTGTAAAGTTAAGTTAAATCTGATCTGTACCGGGGCCCAATAAAGCATCACAGAGTTGCAATCACTTGTCTCTCTCTGTGAATCAGTTGAGGATAATTATGTTCACTTTCAGATTATTATTTTCACCATTTATCATTAGAGGGTGCGTTTTAACACAAGCTAGAATGTAGTATAAGTCTCTGCCCCACGCAGGTTTGGCAGCGTGGAGAGAGAACAGCAGAGGGAGAGATCATGAAGTTAAACATGTGCAGGGATTGGGAGCCCAAGGCCAGCCAGATGTTCTCAGACTCCATCTCCCCCCAACATAGCCAACTGTCAGTGGTGATGGGAGGCAGAGTCAACATCTGGAAGGACCACAGGTTCCCCATCCCTGAGCAAGAAGAGATGGGCTTTGGAGCAAAACAGGTGGCACAACTATGCAGGCGTACAAAAGGGGGCAGGAGCAAAGAAAGATTTAAAGACTTCTAAAGTGATCAAAAGTCACAGAGTCTGAAAAGTTAAGGTCACAGGCAGGCGTTTATCAGGAGAAAGATAAAAACTTCATGCTGACATTTTGCAGAACAGTATGAACTCTCTCATACAGAAATGGAAGGTCAATGAATAATTTTCCTTTGTGTTGTTTCCATAAATTTGCAAAGGATATTTATTTCCTTGTATAGTACAGATAAGGAAAGTGAGGAAAGCTGTAGGGCGTGGGGTGGGGGACACTTTTTGGAGAGCCTCGTCTGCTACTGCCGTTTGGGTTCCCTCCAGCTTCCCAGCTAGCACATCTCAGCTGTCCGTGGCTCATTGGTAAATAAATGCATTTATGCAACAGGTTGCAAAATTCTTCCTGCCATTCTCACGCTGAGCAGCAAAGGCATGATACAATATTAAATCCTTTGGATATAGAAATCCTTTAGTGCACCGAAAGCAGAGTGAAAATAAACCAAAGTGCCATCTCAGAGGTGCAGAATAACCCCATATTAGTTGTTCGCATACTGATGTCCTGATTCAACACTGAAGCCACAAGCTTTGCAGATCCTATCCGGTTGCAAGTTTACTTGAGTTCACAGAAGTGGTTGCCAGCTTGAATTTCTGCTGGTGCAGAAAGGAGATCAAAGTACCTGTGTGTATGGGAGAGAGAGGAAGCCACCTTATGCTGTTTGCCCTGCTAGCTCATTACTGTCCTCTGCCTGGAAACGACGTCCCAGGGTCTCAGCTACAGGTCTTGCTCATCACCTGCTAGGGACAGAAACATGTACTCTGCCACTGAGATATAGGCTGTGTAGACACGTAACCTTTGAAACACGCAGAAGCTTCTTTTTCACAGTATGCTTTCATATAGTACATAGCGGTTTGCAGTTATACACACCTTTGCAAGATAACATAATCTAAAACAGCACCCATTATCCCTGCTGTCCGCACACACAGGTGAGCATGTTTTCAGACTATTGTGTTCTCTGTTGCCCTCCCCTAAATTAGTGTTTCCACAGGCTGTGTGCGTGTGTTTCACAGTCTTCTGAAAAGGGGCCTGGAAACTGGTGTGCTGATATATGGAGGATATATATCAGTATAAAGAGGCAGCTAAGTTACTGTACTTCTTCCTAGTTTGCCTGTTTGATTCGTAGCCAAATAGTTAAACATAGTGAGAAGTCCTGCAAGATCAGTAGATCTGCCCCATAGGAGAGAACTTGTGCTGTGTGTGTGCAGCAATTGAGAAGTATATTCTCAGCACAAAATGGATTATAACAATTACAGCAGAAAGCATTTTACATTGACATGGGGATGGTACAGTGTGTACAGACTGGGGTTTGGTAGAAAATGCATGTGGGTTTTTTTTTGGGGGGGGGTTGTTTAACTAATAACCCAGAATGCAATGAAACCCATACCTCCTCCATTGAAAAATCCTCTTAACATGTGCCCTTCTTTCTGACCTTTCTTATATCATCCAAAACTGGTTTGAAATCCATATAGTGATATCAGTTTCATAATCTCTCTGACCTGGCAACATATCGCGAATCATGATGTGTGTGCTATGAAAGGATCACAATGTGGGGGGAAGCATGAAGCCAACCAATGCTTCTACTACATAGCTCCATAATTATTTCAGACATCCTGATATATTGGTATATCACAACGTTTAGCTGGTGCTGTATCGCAATGTTTAAAACCAGATATCGCCCAGCCCTAGTGCCAAGTCATCATCATCATCATAATAATAATAATAATAATTTATTTATACCCCGCCCACCTGGCTGAGTTTCCCCAGCCACTCTGGGTGGCTCCCAATCGAGTGTTAAAAACAATACAGCACTAAATATTAAAAACTTCCCTAAACAGGGCTGCCTTCAGATGTCTTTTAAAGATAAGATAGCTGCTTATTTCCTTGACATCTGACGGGAGGGCATTCCACAGGGTGGGCGCCACTACCGAGAAGGCCCGCTGTCTGGTTCCCTGTAAACTCACTTCTCGCAATGAGGGAACTGCCAGAAGGCCCTCAGAGCTGGACCTCAGTGTCTGGGCTGAACGATGGGAGTGGAGACGCTCCTTCAGGTATACTGGACCGAGGCCATTTAGGGCTTTAAAGGTCAGCATCAACACTTTGAATTGTGCTCGGAAACGTACTGGGAGCCAATGTAGGTCTTTCAAGACCGGTGTTATATGGTCTCGGCAGCCATTCCCAGTCACCAGTCTTGCTGCCACATTCTGGATTAATTGCAGTTTCCGAGTCACCTTCAAAGGGAGTCCCACGTAGAGTGCATTGCAGTAGTCCAAGCGGGAGATAACTAGAGCATGCATCACTCTGGCGAGACAGTCTGCGGGCAGGTAGGGTCTGAGCCTGCGTACCAGATGGAGCTGGTAGACAGCTGCCCTGGACACAGAATTGACCTGAGCCTCTATGAACAGCTGTGAGTCCAAAATGACCCCCAGTTTGCACACCTGGTCCTTCAGGGGCACAGTTACCCCATTCAGGACCAGGGAGTCACCCGCCCCCTGTCCCCCCAAAACAGTACTTCTGTCTTGTCAGGATCCATCCTCCAATTGCCGCCAGGCACTCACACAGGACCTTTACCGCCTTCACCGGTTCTGATTTAAAAGAGAGGTAGAGCTGGGTATTATCATGATGGGAGGGCGTTCCACAGGGACGGTGCTACCGCAGAGAAGGCCCTCTGCCTGGTTCCCTGTAACTTCACTTCTCGCAGTGAGGGAACCGCCAGAAGGCCCTCAGAGATGGACCTCACTGTCATCTTACCTCCCCACAAATGTTGTACAAACAAAGACAAATGCTCGATAAACAGGTAATCTGGAATCAACTCAGGCTCTATTTATTTATTTCTTTGTTTGTTTGTTTCATCCATATCCCCTCTTTTCTTCCATCATGGACCTCAAGGTAGCACACCCAGGTGGCCTTTCATACAGGCGCTTAACAAATCCACACCTGCTTAGCTTCTACATTGCTTCAGCAAGGTGGCAGCCTCATGTCCCCTCAGGCCCTGACCCAGAGCACTATTTAAGACATCTCTCGATCCCAAAAGCAGTAGCCCTAGACGCTGGCACATTTAGAAACACCAGCATACTGGGAGATTAACTAGACCAGATTATATAACAGGACAGGGGAGAAGCTCGATTTAGGATCTTGACCTCAGTTATACGATACCCTTCCTTCAGAACAACTTCCTGGGTAATCTTTTAGACCTTGAGAGTGTTACCCTCAGTCACCTGACACTGTCACTTAGAGAACACTTGTAATCAATGGGAACAGGGCAGATATAGTACAGACAATGTAGACTTCAAAGGAGATACAGCTGCTTTATGAAATAAGCCCCAAGCGCCAAATGATGAGTAAGAGCAGCCACAAAATGATTAATGGATACAAATGGGAGAGGCTCTAGAAAATTAATTGTAGAATTAAGGCCAGAATATGTTTCGTGATTAATGACTTCGGGTTTGTGAAGCATGTTGCACGGAGAAAACACTGTAGAAATTGCCACAGCTGCCGGATTGCAGTTATTACCGGGGTTGAGAGTCACACTGGCCTGCAATTCAAAGTGCCGCTTCCTGCTAGTTTTGCAGCAACCACCACAACCCAAAATGGGCCAGATTGGGAGCCATGCCTGAGACTTCCATTCTTGCCCCTCTGTATTCATTTAAGAACAAATGGAAATTGAACCAAATGGGCCACGTTTGTGGGGCTTTCATGGAGCCCCTACTTTCAGATGGAATTCAGCTAGCACCCTCAGCTTGTGGAATTACAGTTGATTTTGTTTGTTGCTCTTATGCAACAAACCTTCTTTGCCCTCCCAAAACTGGACTTTTGCAATAAGGAAAGTGACTGGAAAATGTGGGTAAAATAGACCCTGGAGAGTATGCCACAACTGCAGCTAGAATTTTGTTAGCTAAGAATTGGAAATCACAAGAAGTCCCAACAGTGGAGGAATGGCAAACGAAGATGATGGACTTTTCGGAGCTAGCCGACCTGACTGGAAGAGTCCACGACCAGAAGGAGGAGGAGTACCAGGAGGAATGGATGAAATTCAAAGACTATTTAGTTAAATATGTTAAGATAACTTAATTGGAAAAACTTGCAAATATCAGATAGGCTTAGGATTTAAATATGTGATGTTAGAGAATAATATGTTTAAAGTCAAAATGAAAACAAAGAAAGATGTTAAGTGATTAAGTTAATTTTATGAGAAAATTGGTTTTGGAAAACTGTTACAATGATATACACTGAAATTCAGCCAGGGGGATTTGAGGAAGTCACTTAACAATGTTACTAAGATTGGATCAAGTACAGTTAAGATGTATGTTTGTTTGTTTGTTTAAATTTTTTTTGGAAAACCAATAAAAATTTTTGAGAGGAAAAAAAAAAGAAAGACCCTGGAGAGGCACTGCCAGTCATTGTAGAGAACAATGCACAAGATGGACCATTGGTCAGCCCGGATATCAGCCTGGATAGCTCAGTTGGTTAGAGCATGGTGCTGGTAATGCTAAGGTTGCAGGTTCAATATTGCCCCATATAAGGGATTGCATGGGGTTGGGCTAGATGATCTTTGGGGACCCTTCCAACTCTACAATTCCATGATTCTATAATTTGATTTTACAACTCCATATAAGGTAGCTTCCTTTTTTTTAATGTCTAACCTCCCTGCATACCAATCAGAATGAATGCTCAATAAATTGCTGACACTGTCTAACCTCCCTGGTAAATGAATCAGGACGAATGCTTGATAAACAGGTCATCTGGAAGCGGCGTTGGTTCAATTTCCCATTCATCCCAAAACGAATGCACGCTCCATGGGCTCACAAGCCTAGAAGCCAGCACAGACTAGTGTTTTCTCACACAGCCTGTTATAGGAGGAGATGGCAGTGAGAACCATCACTCAGAAAGACAAAAATCGGAGGGTGCTATTTCATCATCATACACAGCAATTGCTACAATCCCCCTTTGAAAATATCACCCCCACCTTCAAGCCTTTCTCTCTCACACACAAACCACTTCCTCACTTCCCCTAACAAATCGGCATTCTGCAGGTGCTACCTGTAGAAGTGTTACCACGGTGTTGATGAGCTGTTGAAGGAAGGTGGGGACTCTGCTATCAATCCCCCCACAACAGTTCCAATCCGTTGAGCAAGGAAGAGGAAGGTGGCCCCTGGATTGACTCAGGTTTATCCACTTGGTCAGTGGTTTGTTCAGCTGGAACTTTGGAGGTATGCATTTGGGAAAAGATTATGATCATTATCAATTAATCACTGTCCTTGACTGTACTGTATGGCATTTTAATACATAAAAGAATCTGGGCTGTGAATTACACACTATCCCTTTTAAGCACATTCAAAGCATATTCTTTCCCTCAAGGAATTCTGGGAACTGTAGTTTACCCCCCTAGAGTTACAATTCACAGCAACCCTTAACAAACTACAGTGCCCAGAATTCTTTGATGAGGAGAATGTGCTTTGAAGGCATGGTTTGTACACAGCAAGGAATTAAGAAACACGCAGAATTAAATGCAGCCAATGTGGTAATTACAGAGTGCATACTTTGCTTGCAGAAAATCTATGGTCTCTCCAGTAGTAAACTAGGCAAGACCTCTGACTGAGATCTCGGAGAGTTGCCATCGGTCAAGGATAGATGGAACAATAGTATGTCTCAGTATAAGGTGGCATAAAATGTTCATACATCAAGATAACTTTAAGATGCTTCTAGAACCATGAATGTGTGTGGTTGAAGTGATTGTTGTCTTTAAGATCTGTGCCAGTTTATTCTGCATGTGACCTTCTCTGTCAGATTAAGACAAATATACCTTTGTAACCTTAAAATCCCCTCTCTACGACTGGCGAAAGCAGAACAAAATGTACAGAGAAAGCTGAGCTATGTTTCATTTGCCCAAAGCATGCACATCACAGAAACCAGCCATTTTTGGTATACAACTTATATACCAGACTGGCGTAAAATTGTTTGATTTTATTCTGTTGTGCTTTGTTTGCTTTTGCCCTGTGTGAGGAAAGTAAAGCAGGCGGGCTTTTTTTTAATAAATAGGCCACTGTTCCCAATGTAGTGCACACAACTGAATTAGCTGTCACAACTCCGGCTGATTAAAATCAGCTCTCATATATCCAGATCCTTGTAAGTATTGACTTTTCCATTGATTTGTGTCTGCGCTAAGAATAAAGCTCTGGTACCAATCTGTAGAAATGCTCAATCTCCTCTGTTGGGATCTGTTTATGCATTCAGCAGGATCAAGTGAGAAAACAGATTTTCTTGGACTCCTCCACTTCAGGCAGTTGGGAAGTTGCAAGTTTGAATGCTCGTGTCAAGATGCTGGACTAGATAGTATTTTGGCCTGAATTTGATATAAAAGTATAGCATGTACTCAAACTGTATGTTTCAGTGGTCTCTGCTTTACTTGACAGTGACTGGCAGTACAGTGGTACCTCGGGTTACAGACGCTTCAGGTTACAGACACTTCAGGTTATAGACTCCGCTAACCCAGAAACAGTACCTTGCGTTAAGAACTTTGCTTCAGGATGAGAACAGAAATCATGCAGTGGCGGCACAGCGGCAGCAGGAGGCCCCATTCGCTAAAGTGGTGCTTCAGGTTAAGAACAGTTTCAGGTTAAGAACGGACTTCTGGAACGTATTAAGTACTTAACCCGAGGTACCACTGTATGTAGAAAAGAATAAGCTTGCAAGGTAAAAAGCTGGTACGTTCGATCCATGGGACAATCTGTACAGCGGTTGTGGAGCCAAGGACTGAAATCTCACATGAACAGTTGTATGTCTTATCACTAAGAAGGAAGGCAACTGCTCGGCCTTGGATACAAGCTTATTGAGTCCCAGGCTTCAATTTAGCAGGACCCTGAGATGATAGAGCAAAAGGGCACACTTGAAGTATGCTTGTCATGAGATGCGGAGCTGGCCGCTGAGAAAAATTTACGTGACTCAAGTTTCACTCCATTTGTTTTTGCAGAATCCGCTGGTGCTTTTTGTGTGTTTCAGTAACGGCAAATGACATCGAGCTTTTGCACTCTGAAAGGCAACTGTGACTTAGGTGCATAGCACAGGGTGTGACGACCATAATAGCATGGAACACTGTACATTATATATTTTTTTTTAATATAATATTTATTGGTTTTACAAAAATTCCAAAACATACAAAGATACAGATTTTCAAAGACAAAAAAACAACAATAACAGTAACAAAAGGAAAACAAAAAATAACAATAAACAGAAAATTTTAAAAATTTATAATTTCATTTAACCTTCTAATCTTTCCTTGGTTCTTTGACTTCCCCACACCTCCCCACTTGTATTTCCTTTTAGAAACTCCTTTCAGCAAATCCTTGCCCTCCTTCCTTTATCTTAACTCAAGAAGCTTAATCTATTTATATATAGGTATTTTTACAACCCTATCAATCAAATATTCCATACTCTTAAACACGAGGCTTTTGCCAATACCAGTTATTTTCAATCAGACCTCAATTTAACATTCATTAATTTTATAGTATTTCTGTAGATAGTCTTTAAATTTCTTCCAATCTTCTGTACATTGTACAACACTGTACATTATAAAGCCACATTTCTCAAATTAGCCGGAGGGAAGTCTAAGCATAGGGACAGACAAGGATGGCTATTACATGTAGCTGAATTTATACATGGCTCTACAGTGAAGATCATGGCCACTGGGCCCATCACCTTCTGGCAAATAGAAGGGGAAGAAATGGAGGCAGTGAGAGATTTTACTTTCTTGGGCTCCATGATTACTGCAGATGTTGACAGCAGTCACGAAATTAAAAGACGCCTCCTTCTTGGGAGAAAAGCAATGACAAACCTAGACAGCATCTTAAAAAGCAGAGACATCACCTTGCCAACAAAGGTCCGTATAGTTAAAGCTGTGGTTTTCCCAGTAGTGATGTATGGAAGTGAGAGCTGGACCATAAAGAAGGCTGATCGAAGAATTGATGCTTTTGAATTATGGTGCTGGAGGAGACTCTTGAGAGTCCCATGGACTGCAAGAAGATCAAACCTATCCATTCTGAAGGAAATCAGCCCTGAGTGCTCACTGGAAGGACAGATCCTGAAGCTGAGGCTCCAATACTTTGGCCACCTCATGAGAACAGAAGACTCCCTGGAAAAGACCCTGATGTTGGGAAAGATGGAGGGCACAAGGAGAAGGAGACGATAGAGGACGCAATGGTTGGATAGTGTTCTCGAAGCTACCAGCATGAATTTGACCAAACTACGGGAGGCAGTGGAAGACAGGAGTGCCTGGCGTGCTCTGGTCCATAGGGTCACGAAGAGTCGGACACGATTAAATGACTAAACAACAGCATACAAGGGATACCTACTATGTCTACTCAGTCCTGCTGTCTAGACTCTATACTGAATTATATGTTCACAGCCCAAGGGCCTGACTGAGTGAGCAAGCTGCTCTAATGTCCCCAGTGGTGCTTTGCAGACAAAGCTAAATTTCTAGACCGCTATTGGGCTAGCTGCAGTGATGTCACAGAGGAGCCTGGACCTGGGAATTGAAATACGAGGATAAACTGAGAGGGAATGTCTTGGCATTGGAATTTCAAGTCCACGGGCTAATTTTAGTGCCAATAAACCCTTTCACCTTTGCCTGTATGATGTAGGCTTCCAGAGGACACCTCAGTGGTGCAAATCAACTGAAGGGAGTATACGGTGCCCAGAATGTGACCTCATAATGCATTCTGCCAGACAAATTCCAGTAATGTATATAGGAGTGACAGAGGTTCCTCAAATGCTCTGAGAGGGGCCAGGGCAGGCTATGAAGCTTTCAAAGTGGGCATCGCCTCTCCATTTCACAGCTTCTCATTCCTTCCCCTCCCCACTAATCCCAGAAGTGCTTACATTGGATGCCCCGGGATAGCCCCCCTTGTGAACCTGGCTAGGTTGCTTGAATCCTGGGGGTGGGGAGATAGGGGGGCCAGTAATGAAATCCACACGTTCTTCCCCAATTCCTCCTTACTTTTTATCAAATCACCCACCCACCCCCTGAACCCTCCTTAAAGTAGCTAAGGGACAGAAGCTTACAAAGAACGGCATACAAACCCCGTCTCTCCCATCATGAAAGGAATCGGAAGGAATATTGTTTGTTGTGAACTGTTTCCGAAATCTTTTCTTGACAGAACATACATGAGTTGAGTGGAAGAAGACTCATGGCGGCATGAGACACCCACCGCAGGTAGCTTATTTTGGATGTCATGGATTATCGGCAAATGACTGGTTATTTAAGTTATTGTTATTTTAATTTTCTTTCCAGGGTCAGGGGAGAGAGTTGCTTGTGGGGTTTTCTGCCTCAAATTCCAAAATACCTTTATCAACTTTCGGTACTATGCGTCTTGATTTGGTGTGTTCTTTTGCCATTTACTCATCTGTAGCCCTCGGGGAGAAAATGTCTTGCACAGGCCCTAACCATAACCAAATTTACATGTGTGTGTGTGTGTGTGTGTGTGTGTGTAAAGTCATTTGCCCACATTCTTCTCTTTTTTTTTTTTGAAAAAAATGATATTTATTAGAAGTTTAAAAATTACAGAAAAAAGAAAAAACAGAAACCAACAAAAAAATTGACAAAACATACATTACAATACATAAAAGGAAAAGCATAAAAAACAATACAACAATACAGCAATAAAAAAACAATAACATTAAAACACACATCCAATGTTCCATATCTTTATCTTTCATTTACTTGTTTCATCGACCTCCTCACACCTCCCTTTCTGTATTCTAATTTAATTAATTGTTTCAGCAAATTCTTTCCATCTTTCTCAATTTTTGTTATATAATTTATCTTAACGATCTAACCTTTTAATTAACTCAACAAATCCTTTCCATCTTTCACTATATTCTGTCATTCAATTTACCTTAATTTATTTAACCTTATCTTACCATAAAAAAAACCTTAAAACTTAAAACTTAATACTTATTTGTACATAACTCCTTATATCATTTCTACTAAAGCCAAATAGTTTCATTCCAACATTTTTCCTAATACTCATTAATTTTACACTAATTCTCAAAATATTTTTTTAAAAAAACTTTCTTCCAATCTTCATCCAACGTCTCTTCTTCCTGGTCTCGGGTTTTGTCAGTCCTTCTTGTCCATTCCATCTAGTCCATCAACCTGGTGATCTTATGTCCGAGGCTCTTAAGTCTTTTCCATGTCCCTTCTGCAGATCTTCTTCTTGTTTATACCTGCACTTTACTTTGTCTTTTGTTGATCTTTTTCTTAATTTCTTTCCTTTCTCATTGGGGGGTAGGTCTCGGGAGGACTCCAATCCAAAAATATCTCCATCTCCCCTCGGCAAATCAGCCCATTCCCTACAGTCCCATTCCCCACAGTCAACACTGTAGTCCAGGAGGTATTTAAAAGCATGTTTCAAGGTCCTTCCAAAATTAAGAGCCCTCACAACTCCAGACCCCCCCCTGGTCCATTCCAGATTCAAACTTCAAGAACAGCGGCTTATGCTCCTGCAAGGCCTCGGATCTCTCCATTTGTGTTACTTGAGGTTCAACAGCAACCTCCTCCGTTATCTTCTGCACTTGCCCTGTCAAAACAAGTTCCTGGGCTGGTTCCTGAATGGTTTCTATATGAGTATTCGCCATTTGTCCAAAGTTTTTAACTGCAACAGTCATCAAATCCATCTTCTCATGCATCTGCTCCAGCAAAGCGCTTGTCTTACAAAAAGCAAGCACCAAAACTTCTTCTAAACACATTTTTATTCAAGGTCAGAGTCTGGTCTCACGATCCTAATCTTACAGCTGTGAAATCCCCAGATCGACTCCAGCAAGAAATTAACAAGCTTGTCTAGAGGAGACAATTTCTATTTGTATCCATCTTTTGAAAGCAGGACCAACAAAAGAAAATTACTTTCATTTTTCAAATATTTTGTTTCTTTTGAATGCAAGAGGCAACACTGGAATCAATTTGTTTCTCTTTTTTTACTATCTGTCAAAAGACGTTCCATTCACAGTCGATGGACTTCCCCATAAATTTCTGTCTCTGACACCCCGTTCCCAGGTTTGAGACGGTGGAAATTTATCTTTCTTTATTCTCTCTCCTGCAGGCTTAAACAGTCAATAATTCCCCCCCTTTTTTCCTGCTTCCAAGAGGGGTTTTGGTGGTAATAACTGAAGGAAATTTAGACCTTTATATACGACTTTCCAGACTTTATCTTACAAAGTTTTTGCTTCAATCTATTTACAAAACCGGAAGGCGGACATCCTGTTTAGAGCCTTCCCACTTCAGTGCCAAATTAAAATGTTTCTTAATCCAATTTTCCGTTCTACTCACGGGTACTTATTTAGAGTCCAATTGTCCACAGGAAAAAGTCAGTGCTCTCCGGCAACGGCTGTGCGGCTTCACTCCGTAAAAGTAGCGGTTGATTCAAAACACCGTGCCACTCACCCCACGTCGCTTCGGATCCCCAAAAAAGGGTTTCCCTGCGAGTAGGGGAGGCGCTCCTGGTGTCAGCCGAATCCCACGTTCCCAGGCTTCCTCTGCCTGGGATTTTTAGGGGGTCTCCGCCTTCGCCGCGGCGGCAAGACCCAATTTTCACGGAGCGGGTTCCTCTCAGTCAGAGGAACTCCGCCATTGCCGATGGCGCTAACCCGGAAGTCCTCCATTTGCCCACATTCTTCTCTCCCTACCTTGTCTGCCCCTCCATCCCTGTGTTGTTTCTGCACTATGTCACATCCACAGCATACATTTAAAGGACATTTATATCACTTTAACAGTCAGGGCTTCTGCCCAAAGAATCATGGGAACTGTAGTTTACCCCCTCACAGAGCTATAATTCCCAGCACGCTTAACAGACTACATTCCCCAGGATTCTTTGAGGGAAGCCATGTGCTTTAAATGTAATGCTGTGGATGTGACCTTAGAGACTATAAGCTCCATGGCAGCTGGGCCCTATCTGTTTAACTCCATGTTGCCATGCCAACTGAGGCCCAGCATGAGCACCAAGCACCCAAGGGGCAACTGTCGAAGCTCAAAAGGACCGCAGGGACCACTGGCATTGACACTTGTTTTGGGTTCCCTACATCAGGTAGCTGGGAGTTGCCATTTTAATTTCTGCATTGCTTTGTGGACATTGTGGAAATGAAAATGGTGGCTCCTGAATCAAAGTGTCACCGCCACCACTGCCTATAGGAGGCCCACTGATATGTGAGGCAGCCCATCAGTAGTAACAGTAGTTGTCGTTGTCATAGTAAATAAGTAGTTCATCAGATCCAAATATTGAGTTTACCTTGGTGTGGTTTTATTTATTTAGTTTACCTAGGGTTGCCATATTTCAAAAAGTGAAAATCCGGACACAAAAGTTGTTGAGAGCTCTATTTTTTGGCAAATTTTGGGGCTTTTTTTTTTTTTTTAAATCCGCCAAAATCTACACTTCCGATATGGGTTGCCATACATCCAGATTTTCCCAGACACTGTTTCTGATGGCCGAATCCAAGCTACTGGTATGTCCAGGAAATTCCAGACATGTGGCAGCCCTAGTTTACCGCCCTTTATCTGTAGATCTCAGGGAAGTTCACAACATTACTAGGAGCCACCACAAACAGTCCAAATGAGACTTCTCCTCTCTTCCGATGCACCCTTTATCAAAACAGAGACATTTACTGACAAGTGCCCAAGTTGTGGGACAGCTTTGGGGCCCAAATGCAAGGGAAACCCCAACAAAAGACTTAACTGGGACAAATTCAGCAAAATCTCTACAAAATCTCTAAGAAAGGAAAAGAGCAGCTGAAATCCCTCCCTCACCCACCCAAAGGGAGGGAGAACTTCAGGCTACAGAGATAGCACCTGTTAACTAACGCACCATGCTCAATACATTGACACCCATAAATGCCATGCGCTTCTCCTCCAGGTACAATTAGGTGTGGGAAATTAAGCTTCCTACTCACCCCAAGCTGCCCCAGAACAAACAGAGCCTAGTTTAAACATTCAGTTTTGATGCTGGAGGAATTATCTTTGCAAAGAGTACAGACAGACAGACATCAGTTCCCCACCCCAAGTGCGTTGAGCAGTGCAGCTGCCCCTTCTAGGCTGTATCCCACAACCAAAATATAAAATAAAATAATGTAGCAGTGCTCTTGGTAATAAGTAACAGTGAAATGTTCTGATTGGTGATCTAGTGTAAGCTTGGGGGAATGTATCCCAGTGGGAGACCTTGTCAAGTCTGTACGTCTCTGATACCCTTCATTAGTGACCTCGAAGGGGAGTCAGCCTCATGCCAATGGAATTCACAGTGACACTGAGACTCTGTGACAGCGTGCATATGGAAATCCAGAGGGGAAAGAGGCCAGTTGGGTTCATAAGGCGGTGTTTTTCCAGGGTAGACCCTTGAAAGAATGGAGCCATATTTACCGCAAGCCTTCAGGCCAAGATGTCAGGAAAGCAGGGGGTGGTGCAGAAGTGGCCTTGTTGGGGAAAATAATAATTTAATAAACCTGCATTTTGATCATTCCATTTTCTTTTGAGTCTATGGCCTAGCTGAACTGAAAGGGCCTGTACCTGCCGTTTTACAGCACAGAAGTAGCTGCTTTTAGGTACTGTGCATAGTGAATGTCTATTCCAGAATGCTGAAAAGAATAATCCGTTAGACTCTGTGAAGTTGCCATTGTATGCATGAAAAGAAAATCAGCTAGGCAAGGCAATTGTGATTCATCTTGAATTGTTTTGTAGACTGATGAAATAGGACATTAGAAGGCATTTAATGAGCATTTGAGGGTTAACAGCAATAGATTTTGCTAAGTGTTCAATCAATCAATCAATCTTCTTTATTGGCATAGTAAGAGTACGTCGTATACATGGATTGGAACACAGATAACAAAACATAGAAGGAGGTAAGACTGTCCAGACGTCGGGAGATACAAAGGTGATTCTTACGATCTATGGAGGACGTAATTTCATGGCGTCACTCAAAAATATTGCCACATTCTCCACAATGTCATCCTTACCATTATTCAACAGGTAGGTCACCCTGGAAGAATCAGTGCGATAGATCCCCTCCTCCTTCAATAAGGGTGGCCCAAATACTTAAAATATACATTTGCATTAAATGGGCAGTGAAATAAAACGTGGTGGATTTGACCTGTTTTGTGCCATCTTAAATCAAGGTGGGAAATCTGTGGCCCTCCAGATGTTGCTAGATGACAACATTCATCCTTCTTGACCACTGATCGTGCTGACGGGAATTGGGAGGGCACCATCTTCCCCACCCCATATTAAATCAAACTTTACATTTTTACATTTCATCCAAGCAAAGTCATTATAACAAGGAGAGGTCTTCTGCCTAGCTTTGGTGGAGAAACCCTTTTGCTTAAATCTCTCTGTGTGTGTGTCATCATCCCCCACACTCCCTAGAGCAAGAGTTCAGAGGGTCAGGCCACTTCTGTGTGCAGGAAGGCATTGCTGAGATTTTCAAAGCAGAAGCCAATGATCAGTGATCATTTTCTCTTGTTTTCATGCAGCTGTCTCTCAGGAATGCAATCTTTTACAGTGGAATTTGGCATCCCTGAGATCCAGAAGAGAGGAAACCAGCAAGTACTTCTGCCAGATGGGCTGGAATGCACAGTGGGTGGGGGGAGAAACTAGGTCTGTTTAAACAGAAATATAGATCTGTATCACTTAAACATGGAACTGGAGTCTTAAATCATTATTGCAAGATTAAACGGTCAATGCAAAAGCAAACCGAAGACCAGCCCAGACATGATGGGGTCATCATTCAAATCACCCCTATAAAGTGTGGTATCTTAGAATAAAAACACAAAGAGGAGGTGCTGAACCCTCTCCCTTTGGATCATAGCAGTTGGTTGCTCCAGCAAATTTACTTTATTCCTGGCACTAGTACTAGAAGTGACCTGAAAACATAATTAAAAAGCCTACCCAGGGCTTGTAAAGACATTAGTCTTTTGGGGCCTGGGCAGAGCTTGTCTGAGGCCTGGGGTAGGTGTCTTGTTAGAATAAAGTTAAAAACACAAACAAAAAAGCAGCTGGCCCCTGGCAGGGGCCCCTGACCAGCTTAGCTCCATTGAGGCCTAAGGCAAGTGTGACTCACTGCCTCCCCTTCTCATGGACCAATTTGCAAATACGGTACTTGTGTACATTCCCACAGTGGACCTCCGATTCCCAGAACTCCGGGAGGTAAGGGAGTGCAAACCAAGTGGTGTGGACAACAACAACACAGTACAAATACATCCCATCAAGGACCGCCCAATAGTGCAGATGGGAAACCATTGAGATAACAGTTCAATTAGAAGTACTCATGCATGGGCAAAAGCAAGCTCAGGAAAAACGACCCATGTGCATATTAACTCTCTGATGTGTACAGTCTAAACGCGGATGATGTTGTCGTGTTTCTCTATTAGTTGTGCACTGAGAACAAAAATGTCAAGTAAGAAATGGGCGTTCCACATTGTGCTTCACAATTCAAGTCAAAAAGTGGTACGTGGTTCCACAGTTTGAGTGACCATTTCTTATTTCAGAGCTCAGAGGCTGAGACAAGGCCTACTGCAGAGACTGGTGAGTTCAGCTGTTTGTCAGGGACCAAAAATGTCAATACATCCAGTTTAAGGGAGCCCAAAGGTTCCTAAAATCCTATAGCTGAGGTGCATTTTGCAAGCGAAAGCAAAAATGCAGGTACATAGTTATGGAGGTACATGTGTCTGGGCCTATGATTTTGTTGTTGATTGTATTTAAATTGTTATTTTTAAGTACCTAAACACGACTTTTTTATATTAAATGGAAGGCAATCCCTTCCCATAGGCATACAATCTATGTGAATGCAGATTCATCGCTGGGCGTCAGTGATCTACAACCTGCACTGCAAACTTAGTAATTCTAGTCTGCACACTTGAATCTCAGAGATTTCTCTCTATATATATAAAGTCCAAAGGTCACTGGTAAGAGAAGAAGAAAAGTTCTGATCAAAGTCTTATACGAACGCCTGTTATCTGCTGGCCAGTAAGCCGGGACTGATTACTGTATTTTTTGCTCTATAAGACTCACTTTTTCCCTTCTAAAAAGTAAGGGGGAATGTGTGTGCGTCTTATGGAGCGAATGCAGGCTGCGCAGCTATCCCAGAAGCCAGAACAGCAAGAGGGATTGCTGCTTTCACTGTGCAGCGATCCCTTTTGCTGTTCTGGCTTCTGAGATTCAGAATATTTTTTTCCCTGATTTCCTCATCCAAAAACTAGGTGCGTCTTGTGGTCTGGTGCGTCTTATAGAGCGAAAAATACGGTATGTCATGAACAACAACACAAGGACCAAGGACTGGGAACACAGGGCAGCTTTAAGACTTGAGGGTGTGATACGAAGAGCAAAGTCAGGTGTTGGACTTTCCTTCATTGAAAGTTGTTAAACAGAGATTGTATCTCAATCTGTCCCAGAGTTCGCTGGAATGAGGGCTGACTGTTAAACCACTCTGAAAATTGTATCTCCGTGAGGAGAGCTACAGACCTAGCAACAACTCTCAGCACCCTTAACAAAGTATAGCTCCCATAATTCTTCAGGGGAAGCCATGACTGCTGAAAGTGGTATCATAGCACTTTATAGGAAGAATAGCAAGGTTCCAGGTCTGCAGCCCAGCAGGTTGGGGGAAAGGCATGGAAAAGGAGATGAGCCAAGGGGCTAAATGAGAGAAGAAGATTCCTGGCATGCAGCCTCTCAATGCATCAAGGAATATAAAGGGAGGCTTATCAATCTCTGGACTGCCACCAGAAAACAACTCAGCCCAGACTTGGTTCTTCAAGGGCAGCGATTTGCAAAAAGCTTTTCACAGTGATGGGGGCAGGGGGGGGATTTGCCCAGTAAAAGGGCCCAGTAAAAGAAGTTGGCAACCCTAGTTGTGAATGAGACAGGGACATTCAGCAGGCCTCACACTTGCAAGCTCTAAAACCACCTATAAAAGTAGGCAGGGCCTGTTCTTCTTGTAGCTCTGCAGCCAGCAGAAACTGGAAAGACTAAAGCACCGTCTTCCCCTCAAAGTCTCTTTCCCCAGTGGCCAAAAAGCAACAACAAAAAACAGACACCAGGGAATGGATGGATTGCATCACATGGCCATTCAAATAGCAGCACTGCTATTAAGTGAAGTTGCTTCCAGCAACCTAACTAGGCAACGGGAATTGCATTACACAATCATTTCATAACAGGGCATGCTTACGAGTTCTCCGTGTGCACCACTGTCTTCCCTTAGAAAATCTAAACTGGTATTCGTCCCCCTCATGCAAACTGGGTTTCAAAAAATTACCTTTGCTTGGGCAATGGTACTTGCCGCAGTTATTGTAGGAGTACAGTGGTGCCTCGCAAGACGAAATTAATCCGTTCCGCGAGAGTCTTCGTCTAGCGGTTTTTTCGTCTTGCGAAGCAAGCCCATTGACGGATTAGCGCTATTAGCGCTATTAGCGGTTTAGCGGCTATTAAAGGCTTAAAGGCTTAGGGGATTAGCTGCTAAAAGGCTATTAAAGGCTATTAAAGGCTTAGCAGATTAGATAAAGGGGAAGCGAAAAAAATCTCAAGACTCGTAAGGTATTTTCGTCTTGCGAAGCAAGCCCATAGGGGAATTCGTCCTGCGAAGCAACTTCAAAACGGAAAACCCTTTCGTCTAGCGGTTTTTCCGTCTTGCGAGGCATTCGTCTTGCGGGGCACCACTGTAGCAAGCAAGCAGAATGCAGGAAAGAAAATAAACATTGGGCTTAGACAGGAGGAGGAAACAGAAAAGTAATTAAACATTTGCATTACTAGGCCTCTGCAAATGCTGCTACAGGGACGTGCCCCAAGCACTGTGTATAAAACAGGCAAATATCCAAATGATTCTCTACCTAAGTAGGCAAATAAACTGAGAGAAAAGATAGAAAACTCTCCAAATTGTTTGCAGTCAGACAGAAGAAGCAAATTTTTAGATCCTGGGGTTTGCACATTAATATCCTATATACTCTCCCTTTCCTTTCCAGCAGATCACGAGGTAAACCAAAGCACTGCAAATTTTTTCTTACATTTATTCTGCTTTTGCCTTGCTCAGCTGTATCCTTGAACTGTGCTAATGCCTATTGAACGCAACTGGGCTTTTGACACAAAGGTTAAGGCTGCATAGAGTCTCCCAAGAACAAACCATTGTTTTACATTTCTACGCACGTATCCTCCCCGACTTCCACTATACTTTCTCCCAAGTAAATGCATGCAGTATTGTAGCTTAATTTGCTTCTGAAACCCTAAACGCAGAGTGTGACTTACCTCCTGCCTATCAAATGGTAAGAGGAACCTATGAATGTCTTCTAACTCATTTACTTAGCAGCCTGTCAGGACTCAAGCCTACTTACTGTGGGATCACTCTGAACCGGTGGGACCTTAGTGGTAATAGGCAGGGATTCCGCCTGCACACCAGAGATGGGGATCGTGTGGCCCTCCAGATGTTGCTGAATGACTTCCCAATCACTCCAACATCTGGAGAGCCACTGATCCCTGTGGTACATCCTCAAACCATTTTTTTGGTCAAAAGAGTGAATTGCAGGATAAACCTGCAAATAATTATCTTGAATAGTATTTGGACAGAGTAGGAAAAAACTAAAAGTAAATGCTCTTTTTCCTGAACAAGTTAGTGATAAGGCCAGTTCCTTATTAAAGCTTTCGCTTGAATCTTGTATAGCAGAAAAGACAAGACAGCTGGCTTGCAGCTGATTTCTGCTGCAGAGAGAATTCCTTTTCTTCATGCTTTGGCAGGAGCAGGCTCTGACTCAGTCGTCCACCATGAGCGGTGATGTCATTGCTCATAAGGAACACCTGTTCCACGTGTGCTGCACTCAAGACACAGGCAGACACTCTGATCTGTCTTTCACACATGTATTCTAGGCAGAGGACCCTGCTGCGCATGGAACACGATAAAATTTTGCAAAGGAGGATGGGTAAAGGAGCAGAATGATTCGGTGTTCTGAATCCAACACAAGTCCCTCTGGAGAGGCAGCCTTTACTCCCAGGTGGCCAATTCACTGCTGACCTTAAGGCATTATCTTCTTTTTTTGACTGCAAATGGCTATACACATTTTGATTTGTGCTGCTACTATGCATTCTCTCTTATCCACAAATTCCCAGTTTGTCTAGCGACTTAAAATTTTTACACCACCGAGCCAGCTGTGGCTGTAATATATTGAATGTTGCAGCCCCTTGCCGTCATTTTGGAAGCAGATCAGTTTCCCTAAGGAAGCAGCAATGAGGCAAAAATGCAGCTTCTGCCGGAGATTAAAGCAGCTTAATTCACACAGAGAAACAAAACTAGGTTTTTAGGTTATCATCCTCAATGACAAAGAGGGAGTCACTAGGACTCCTTGGATCATTTTTAGCAGAGAGGCACTCTCACAACGGAAACAAAAATGCTTTTTTCCTCTGCGAAAATGACTGGGAGAGCGCAAGATTTGTCAATACAATTCTGATGCAATGCATGGGCTAGTTTTGGAATGTAAGATGGTGTACAAAGGACAGTCTCACATCTGTTGCTCCACACACTCTTGCCCTGACACCCCCCACAATTCAGCCCTCAAACTGAAAATGGTCCCTCCTTGTTTTAAGGGGATGTAGTATGCGTGCCTGTTGTCTTTGTCCATG